ATAGGGTTGGTGTTGACTTCATTAAATATTAACCTTTTTCAAATTTTAATTCAAAAATACACCTGTAGATTAATAACTATATATTATTATGCTAGGTTTTAAATGATTTCATACTTTAAAAATATTTATACAAAAGACAAAAAAACATATCAATTTTTTAATATTAAATTGCTGAAATAAATTTTATTTCCTTAAATACGCAGAAAATTAACGAACAAGTTTTGTACTCCAACAATAAATTATATTATGAATGATAAATTAATTAAATCTTTATAATGAAGAATTAATAAACATCACACATAAATATTAGAAATATGAGAACATTTATTAAACCAATTGGATTAGATTATACAATGTATGTATTTCAATAATGGAATAAGTTGTGTAAAAAATAAATTTAATTATTTTTATTGATATTATTATTATCAAGAATAAAATACTAAACACTTAATTTAAATATGCTTATACATTTTGTATTTCACGATTAATGAGGATTTGATGTTGAATTTATTTAGGCTTACTTTCTGAATTACTATAATTATAATAACATTAAAGGCAACTAGGATAAATTAAACACTCTTCTGAATTATTGAAATTACATTTACACTTTCAAAACTTAGCATTTTTTAGAAAATTAAGAATTTATGAATTTTTTTTTTCTTTTAAATTAGATATACTAATTTTAATTTAACCAAACAAACATATCCCAGTCTATACCAAAAGTAAATATACAGGAAACCCAGCTTAAGACTTATTTATTAGCTTTTTAATCAGCCCCGTAATACTTATACTTAATAACAAAAATTAGAGAAGAGAAAATAAAAAACTTGATCTATATTAAATTTTCAAAATGATTTCAAGTCCTCTCTACTCTAATTATAAGAATAAGTAATAATAACATTTTATACAAATTGAGTTTAATTAATTAAGTATAGATTAATATTAAAATCTGATATATGTAGAGCCTTTTCTTTCAAAATAAAACCATATTATTTACATCAATCTTTCAAATGATTTTTCATTAATCCAGCAGTAAAGTGAAAAATAATCCTTCTTATCTTAAACAAATAATAAATGAAGACAAGATTTTGGTTTTTCTATTTAAATTGAATAATTAAAAGCATTAAATATTATATCATTTTTTTTATACAAGTTGAATTTTAAATAAATCTATTGCAAATAAAGCATAGTTGATTTACATTGGTTCTAATTTTTAAGTATTATTTTGACTAAGTCTTGTGACAGAATCAATATTACCATTTATTTTTTCAAAATTGAAAGATTTTATTTAATATTTTTAATTAATTTAATGTTTAAATGGAATCATAACATTTTTAATTTAGATTTTGTAGTTCATATTAATTGAAATGACCTTTAATTAAATTTATAAGGATTAATTATATATCAGAAATAATTATAACAATACATCTTCTTAACTCATAAGATTATCAAATTTTAAATGTTAGTTTGAAAATTTTAATTCAATGCAAGATAGGAACAAGATTATCAATTATTATTATAATACAACTAAAATTTGAAATTCTGATAAGAAGTTAAAATGATAATTCTTGTTATCAATTCTTATCACTTTACTAAACAATTAGCAATTTGATATCATCACTCTATTCATAAGAATAGTTAAAGATTGTTGGCTTTAGTTTAAAGGAGATTCAAAAATTAATTAATATAACCAAGCTATTTACTATATTAAGATTATGTATCTGAATTAACTTTGTCTAATACCAAACATATTTTCTAATGAATTGGTCATCGAGATATTTTTTAATTTGACCAGTTAGTATATTATTAATATAATTTGCCATTACAATTTATTGATAGATTTATTTTATTGTAAAAATCTTAACAAAATTAATAGAAGCTTAATTCAATAATAGTAGAATGTAGAATTTTGTTATAAATAGATAAACAAAACAAAAAATATATTTCATTGAGAACAAACAAATAAAAAATAAGTATAATAGATAATTATAATAGAATTCTGAATAATCTAATTAAAATATATTACAATAGATATAAGTAGTTATGATTAATGTTTTAAAGTTGAAATAAAAGAAGAAATATTCCTTACAAAAATTTGCAAAAACTTTGTTTTGAAGAAATTTGGATAAATTAAGAATCATATTTATTAATATTATTTTCAATGAAGTAATTTTTGTTTTTTTTTTTTAAAAAAACCATACTCCAATCATTAATACACTTCTAAAGTTAGTGTAGATGAATATTTTTTATATTATGTAGGGTCTTTCAAATGAATTAAAAAGTTAACCATTTTTTCTTTAATAATAGCTTGCTTTATCCTATTAATTGTTGTCAACAACAAAGCTGAAAGATTTTGGCCTCTTTATTTATGTATTTAGATTGAAAATTGCCTTAGTTTATGGATAATTGTTATTCTGTTTTTGCTAAATTAAAAGATCAATAGTATTTCCATATTTTTAATACATTCATCAAGAACCTAAAGTTTTTGTAAATTTTTAACGAGAAGATTTTGCCTTATTAAGTAATACAGAATATGAAGAGATTGATAAACACAACTAAAAGAAAAGTAGTTGGGAGTAAACAACTATAAGGACACATATATATATTTATAAAAAGAGAAGAGAAGAGTGGAGAGAAATGTGATGATGGCAAAAATTGATAACAATATGGGCTTTATTATTAGATCATTTTGAATATTAAAAAATGAAATAGATATTTTTATATATTTTACTAGCTATTAAAGGTAAGAATATGGGTTAAATCTATCGAATGCAATAAAAAAAGGATACCAATATGATGTATTGGTTTAATAATTCCATCTTTCTCATAATCAAGTATAATTTTAAATATTTTATTTTTTAGCTTGGTCTAGGTTCAATAAAAATTTTGGATAATTGTATTATTACTTATTTTTACTCTCAATTATATTTGCATAAGTAGGCACATTTAATCATTAAATCCAAAAATTACTTTTTTCTAATTTAACCTTTTGAATATTGCTTTCACTAAATTAAGTTTAAATGATGATGTCATATTTATATCATTATCTTTCATTTCTTTTCTATTTTTTCTTATTCTCAAGAGATTCTCTTCCTTCCTTTTGCTTTAGTAGTCGGCACTTTTTATTCAATGATTTCGATTTAGTCATCATATGGGCTACATATTCTGATAGTACAGATAGATTCTTCTCCTATAAATTTTTACGCGATCTTCGCTTCTCAAAACCTTGAACATAATTTGATATTCTCGAACCAGCGGCTTACTAGAACTAATTAAGTGTAGTCAGAATTTTTCCATTAAAAATCAAAAATAATAAATTTTTGACCTCTATATTTAACTTACCAGTACAGGCCATTGAATTTTACTAAAAGAAAACCTTTGAACTCTAATTTCGAGAGATATAAAAGTAAAAGGAGGTATAGTAATATGTAAATCAGATGATGCTTATCTAAATAATTAAGTTCAAGTGTATATTTTATTGATTAGAATTTAAATTTTACTTTATTATAGGTGCCTCTAAATATCAAAATACACATGATTAATTTCCAAAATTTTAGTGAATTGAGACAATTAAGGCATTCAGATATGAAATGTTTAAAATATGTATAATTAATACTCATATTCAACTCTAAATGATTAGAAATATATTCTATTATTTAATTTAGTTGATTGTGTATTAAATACAATACCTAATTGTAAATATGGATTTTAAGTAACTTCTGGATATAGCAAATTGACTACTTTAGATCATTCATTTACACCTTACACTGGATTATAATTGTTAAATTTGTAAAGTGTAAAGAACCTTACTCATTTAATGAGTGTTATGACATCGCAAATTTCATGTTCCTACAATTATCATTTACTTGGTAAATATCATACTGATTTTTTATTTGTAATAATGGCTATTATTCAAAATAGATGACAGGATAATGTAAACCATGTCCTATCTATCTTTTATCTGTTAGAATGCAATAAATGAATTTATCACTAGATCAAAAAAAAAGAAATCTAAAGATAATTCGTCTTTCTGCTGATTGCAAGGAAGATAAATCTTAATTTCTTGTCGAATGTTTAATCAATTCTTAAACACATTTAAACTGAAGAAATTATTGCAAACAATTTAATGAAGTCATCATTCTCTTAGATATAATTTTATAAAAGCTGAAGTAAATAGTAAAATAAATTGAAAAGAATTTTGAAGAGACTAAGTTCCAATATAATAAAGAATTTAAAAAGAATTTAGTAGGTTTTTAGACATGATCTTACATTTGAAAGAACTAAAATTCAAAGACTTATTAAATTGTATTTTACTTTGAAATGTCAAACTAACAAATATTTAAATAATATGATTAAGCAAAAATATGTTATGATAAAGCAATTTAACTAGATTAAACATCATATTTAAGCCTATTTTAATAAAAAGGTATACCTCGGTAATGGGTAACACCCTACTTTTAAATTGCATCCTTATTACTCTTTTACAAAAATTGAAAAATATAGTAAAGCAAATTGATGCTATAACAAAGTAATGTCTCTATTAAATTTTAGGGAATATTTTATTTAGAAAAGTGATACATATTGGTATACTACTAGAAATGAAGAAATATCACTATGATAAAGCAATTTTACTAGTTCTAAATCAAATAAATAATTCTAACCAAAACAAGTTAGCTATCAATAATTTCAAAAATGCTTTAGTTTTTAGCCATCCTTCTTAAGATAATATAATAAATTAAATAATAATAAGCTCAAAAGTTGCATATTATTAATAGTATTTGTAATATTAATATAAATATAAAACTACAATCAAATTCCTAAATGTTCAGTATTGGTAATAACCTTCTCTAACCTCTTTTTTAATGAATTTCTATTAACATTTTTATCTTTCAATTAATTTAATAATTAAAAATAAGATAATTTTTAATAGTAGTTCATAAGATGACGATAGGATAAATTAATATTGTACTATTACAAATTTTTGTATATAATTTGAATAATCTTGGATTAGAAAGACTATCAATTTTGATCTAACTTTCCCCTTGAATTTAGATTATTTCTTGGTAGTTTTTAAGTTAATTATCTTAATTGCATCTTATTTATTTTTAAAAAAAACTAAAAAAGTTTAAAAACTACTGTTATAACTCTTCTCTAGTTACTTTATGATATTTTTTATTATTTTAGGAATTTATTGCACCCAAATAAGATAAAATATAAGGAATAATGCAAGTTTACCATAAATGAAATTGTTATTTCAAAAGAAAGTTGTTGAAATATCCATTTCAGCTTCCTGATAATTAATGAAATAACATATTTAGTTTATAAATATCCTGTTTTAATCTTCGATGGTTGCTGACCGATAAGCCTAAGTATTTTAAATTCATTAATCACTTAGTTTTGTACGAGTGTAAAGCAAAATATTCTATACTTGCCTTTCTGAATATTAAGATGGTTTTAAATTGAGAATTTTTAAAGGGATTTTTAGTACTTGGGAATAATTGTGGCAATTTCATCCAATATAATTAAAATTACTTACAATAAATATACCTTATTTGATAGATCTTCTAAAAAATATTAAATAAGCAGGGTAAAGAGGCATTCCATTATTGAATATTTCATTTAAAATTAAAAATAGGAATGTGCTATTGACTAGAAAAATCAATAATGAAGCAATTAATTTTATCTTTTTTTTTTGAAAGAAGTTAATTACGAAGGATTCGGAAGAAATCCAGCTAATCAATTAGATAATTTGTTTTTCCAGTTTTTTTTTTTAATATTTGAGATATGCTGAGAAATCTGTTTTCGTTGGAGTATATAATAAGGTAGAAAATTTAGAAGAAATAATCAATAACTAATAATTATACTATTTATGTAATAATAATAGATTTATCAATAATTCTCTATCTTTATCATTATAGACAGTTAAATACAGATAGCAAATTCATAGTAAAAAGAGGATGAACTAATTAGCTATTAATTATTAAAAAGTTGTCATTTTTTCTAACATAAAGAGATAACCAATTTATTTTGCTCTGATAATCAAAGACGAGTGTATTAAGTACTTTAAATAAATCGGAAAATAAACTGATGCTGTATTTATTAAACGATCCATTCACGAATTATAATTTAGGTACAGAAAAATTATTAAAAGATTATAGAAATTTCACTTTTTTAATTAATAATTTTATTGTTACATGAAAATTTTATTTATTTTTGGTGTTTAAATGTTTGAACGGAAACTTTAAATAGAGTTCAAACAAAATCATAAAATGAATGCATAATTTTACTCCCCATCAAATATGTAGAAAATATCTTAATAGAAAGATAAAAATCCAAAATAACTGATCAAAGTATCAAATTATGTCATAAATATTAATAATTTAACATTCAATTTTTTATTTAAATATTTTAGAAAAAGTTATTAATAATGGGCAGTTTTTGATTTTTGGACCTTAAAAATCAAAAATATATATCAAGTTGAAGATTTACAGCTAAATATATTTTTTTATTATTTGTGTGAGTCTTATAACATACTAAAATTAATAATTTACAATACTCAGTTTTTACAATAAAATCAATTTTTTAGATTGGGCTTTGATGGAGAATTTGGTCTCATTGCTAAAGAAATTCATTATTTTATTTATAAAAATAATTCAGATCCCTGAAAATCGAACTATACTTTTTGAGGAAGAATGAGTGGGTTGATTAAAAGATAAACATGGCGATTATTGTAATTCAAATATAACGGGAAGGTGTTATTAGATATTCTCTTCTCATTCTCAAAAATGAAGTCTTTCAGTAATTTAATATTTTGGTAGCTTCATCAGCCCCAAAAATAACAATTAATAAGAACAACACTAAGTCCTTATTATTTGGTTATTCCCTTTTTATTCCTGCCCCTTAGTTACAAAAGAATGATTGGCCCTTCTAAAAGTTTTGTTAATTTCTTCATTGTAATATAATAAAGAATAATATTTCATTAAATGAAGACATAATTTGCATTTTACCAAAAGTAAGAATTTAATTAAATAGCATAATAATTCAATAACTAAATTGATATATCATATTAGATTATTAAAAATACTTTTTATTTTATAATTAAAAAATATTTCTTTTAAAATTAAGGTAATAAAGAAAATTAAATATAATTGCTCTGCTATTCATATTTTTTTTTTCATATATATTCAAAGGTGATCAATTTTAAAGATTAATTTCTATAAACTTAGTTTTAGTTATATTCTACTATAAGTACATTTTGTAGTAAAATTAATATAATAATAATTATAATAGTGATAAATCAAAGTCAACTGGCCTTTGGAATCATAAAAGTGTGAGGAAGGAACATCCAGGGATAAAAATTTTTGATAAAATGCTGGAACCATAAGTTCGAAATCTTCGATTAAAAATTTTTATCTCTTTTTCGTAGTTCTAGAAGATTCTAGAGATTGATATATACTTTGATAAAAATTAAAATAAAAGATTTCAATAACTTAAATATTTAGCAGTTACACCTTAATCTTGAAAAACTTTTCCTTATATTTTCATAAAACTTGTTTCAAATGTATTTTTTTCATGTTGATGTATTAGAGTTTTAATGTAATCTTCTATTTTTCTTGTAAATCTTCTGTAACTTTACTTTTGTTTTTGTGTAGTATTCTTACTAACATTATTTTGTATCCATCTTATATTCAAAAATATTTGAAATATATGATCCAGTATATTGAAGTAATGCAATATGATAATATATTTATATAGAACAACCAAGCTAATATTTTCTATTCTTTTTTAAATAAGAAGTAATTAGAAATGAAAGAATATCCTTTTAGTAATTACATATTCTACAAAATATGATAATAAAATAAACAATAAATATTTATTAATTTATGGATTTATCTCATTTACTCATTTTTTTCTCTCTGGTATATAAACATATTTCTTTGTTTAAGATTATAGTTCTTTAGTATTGTTTGCTATTTCCTATAAAACTGCTTATTACAACAACCAATTAGCTTGATATATTAATTTAAAACGAAATTTATTTTCATAATTTTAATAGAAATAGAAAATGTAGATTAGATGTACATAAGCTATCATCGAAATCAATAAATAATTGGATATTGCATAGATAGACCATGCCCAAATTAAAGGCCTTATTGTCATTTTTGCTTGCCTCGTCATGGTCAACATCTNTTCCTGCCCCTTAGTTACAAAAGAATGATTGGCCCTTCTAAAAGTTTTGTTAATTTCTTCATTGTAATATAATAAAGAATAATATTTCATTAAATGAAGACATAATTTGCATTTTACCAAAAGTAAGAATTTAATTAAATAGCATAATAATTCAATAACTAAATTGATATATCATATTAGATTATTAAAAATACTTTTTATTTTATAATTAAAAAATATTTCTTTTAAAATTAAGGTAATAAAGAAAATTAAATATAATTGCTCTGCTATTCATATTTTTTTTTTCATATATATTCAAAGGTGATCAATTTTAAAGATTAATTTCTATAAACTTAGTTTTAGTTATATTCTACTATAAGTACATTTTGTAGTAAAATTAATATAATAATAATTATAATAGTGATAAATCAAAGTCAACTGGCCTTTGGAATCATAAAAGTGTGAGGAAGGAACATCCAGGGATAAAAATTTTTGATAAAATGCTGGAACCATAAGTTCGAAATCTTCGATTAAAAATTTTTATCTCTTTTTCGTAGTTCTAGAAGATTCTAGAGATTGATATATACTTTGATAAAAATTAAAATAAAAGATTTCAATAACTTAAATATTTAGCAGTTACACCTTAATCTTGAAAAACTTTTCCTTATATTTTCATAAAACTTGTTTCAAATGTATTTTTTTCATGTTGATGTATTAGAGTTTTAATGTAATCTTCTATTTTTCTTGTAAATCTTCTGTAACTTTACTTTTGTTTTTGTGTAGTATTCTTACTAACATTATTTTGTATCCATCTTATATTCAAAAATATTTGAAATATATGATCCAGTATATTGAAGTAATGCAATATGATAATATATTTATATAGAACAACCAAGCTAATATTTTCTATTCTTTTTTAAATAAGAAGTAATTAGAAATGAAAGAATATCCTTTTAGTAATTACATATTCTACAAAATATGATAATAAAATAAACAATAAATATTTATTAATTTATGGATTTATCTCATTTACTCATTTTTTTCTCTCTGGTATATAAACATATTTCTTTGTTTAAGATTATAGTTCTTTAGTATTGTTTGCTATTTCCTATAAAACTGCTTATTACAACAACCAATTAGCTTGATATATTAATTTAAAACGAAATTTATTTTCATAATTTTAATAGAAATAGAAAATGTAGATTAGATGTACATAAGCTATCATCGAAATCAATAAATAATTGGATATTGCATAGATAGACCATGCCCAAATTAAAGGCCTTATTGTCATTTTTGCTTGCCTCGTCATGGTCAACATCTTGACAGGTTAACATCTTAAGAACTTTTTAATGAATGGATTTAACAACGAATCCTTAGTGCCCACAATGTATAAAAGAATGTTTAAGAGTGTAAATTATCCTTTGATAGTCTTCTCAATTTGTTGATTCCTTATATTAACTTTAATATATAGTAATTCTCAGAAATAGGAATTTCATAGATTGATATCATGATAAAAGGATTATTTTAATTGGAAGGTTGCGAGGAAATATTATTTAAACAATTTAAACAGTCTGTCGAATAAATCAAATAGATTATAGATTAGATATTAAAAAAAATAAAGAATCAAACAAATTAAAAAGAAAAGTGTAATTAGTAATCTCAAAATTCTGACAGAAAATAATTAATATTAGAAGAGTCATAACATCTAAGTAACTTTAAAATAAATTCAAACCAGTTCACCTTTGAGCTCATGAATTAAGACTCAATTAAATAAGATAATAATTCTTATGCATTAGCTTTTAATAAAGATTAATCTATCATATTAGCTGGATGTAGTAAGGATATTAAAGTATTTGAACATTAATAAGGGAAATTAAATCAGGTTTAATTGTTGAGTATGCATACAAGTAGTTACTTTAAATTTTATGAAAAAGACTAATAATTTTGTATCTGGAAATTTAGATAATTAAATTATAATATGGTAGGTGATTGGAAATAATTAATGGAATTGTTAATAAATATTAAATGGACATTCTGGTAGTATATTTTGTTTATTGTTAAATAATACTGATGATTTAATAATATCAAGTAGTTTTGATAATACAATCAAATTTTGGAGGAAATAGAATTAATGGATATTTTAATAAACCATAAGTGATCATACTGGTTATGTATATTCATAAAGTTTAAATGAATAATAAATTGATATCTTGTTCACAGTCTTTTATTTATTAAATTTAATGAATTAATGATGAATTTTCCAATTTTATTATTTACAAGATGTTTAGGAATGATATTTAACTTTTAAGTTTTTTGTTTATTGATAGATGTAAAAGTAAATTGCTAAATCAATTTTCTTAGTAAGAAATTTATTATTGTGATTATTGAGATGATTCATTTTCTAATTGATTGAATTAGATAAATCGCTAAACAAATAACTTTGCTTCTGATTGCATAAATTTGGATTATATTTCTTATAGATTGATAAAATGTTATAAGAGAAATTATTGTTATGATAAAAAAGTATTTTAAATTGAGTTATGTTTAGACAATTTTAGGAAATCTATTTTTTATTATTTACGAAGTGATTTGGGCGATGCATAAGATGATCAAATATCTTTAACCAAAGGAAATTTAAAATAAATTTGTTATACTTAAGAAATAAATAGGGATGTTTAGCTTTATTCAAAATTAAAAAAAAAGAAAAGTACTGTCAATTATGTGCTTTAGACAATTTATTCAATTAGAATTGAAATAAGTGAAGAATTAAATTGTTTGTTATAAAAAAGGTCATAATAATATTTATTTTATTGAATATCATCACAAACTTAGATCGTATTGAAAATTTCCTCTTAAATAAAGACATCAACAAAAATTAAATGGATAATACAATGTTTAAGTATTCATTTCATAGGCGAAAGTTAAAAACTATTTGAATTCCATTTATCTTCTGATAATCAAAACACAAGAATTTGACTCATTATTTTTACACCAATTATAATAAAGATCTTACTGAAGTTATTTTTTGGATGTTTAATAATAAGGATATCAGCAACAACCCCTGCAAATCTTCTAATTCATGATTTAATGTCTTTAAATTTTCATCTTTGTGTTTCTGATGTGCTCTTAATAATCCATCGAAAATTGTATTAATAGCTGATTTCTCTTCACCAGATGGAAATTAAAATTCACAAAATTGAACCGAATTTGATCCTAGGAAGAAATTGCTAAATATTGATCATAATTTTAATCCCAATCTACATAAAATACATAATATCCAGGTAGAAAATTTTTCAACAAAATAAGACTACTTTTTTAATTACAGTGTCAGATTTATAAACTTTAAGGGTTGTGGTTGCGTATAATTACTCTGCTTTAATCTTGCACGCAAAAACCTAACTAAATTCAGTGTATGAAAAAAAATTATATTAAAGTTCCCAAATATCATTTGAATTGTAAAAATAATTTTTGTAATTCAAAATTGATGTTTCAAATAAATTAATTATTGTAATATAAAAATTATGAATTTCAAAATCATGCCTTTAATTTTTAAATATAATATACTCATTACAATACAAAAATTAAAATCAATTATTTTTTAGCCTGTAAATATGTACACTTTATTAACCTAGTATTCAAATTGATCTGCTAGTTCTACTCCTAATAGTATTGATAATTTAAAGTTAGATGAATGTAATGTCGTCTAGAATGATTTTCTATAACTTGATAGTTAACTAATCAGATTATTGATAGTCTACTTAAAAAAAGTTAAATTGATAATTTTTAGAGTTATAATTAAAAATAAATAATGTTACGCTTATATAATTATCAAAATTACTTAATTATTGATTCGTATTACCTAAACTAAATCAATATCCAAAAACGATTTCATATTATATAGCACTGCTAAATTGTTAGATATTTAAAAAAATAAAGTTGATTTTCGATTAAGCGTACTTTAATAAAATAAATGAAAGCAAATTTTGTACTTATTTAATCTATTCACTAGGTATGAAATGAAATTAATTTATATTTTCCATTTAAAACTTCCCATATTCAGATGATATTATATTTTTACAATTTTAGTCTTTTAACTGCTTAAATTAATGTATCTTTTACTTCTTATTTCTATCTTGATTTTTTATTTGTCCTTAATCTCGGTGAAAATATTTTAGATTTGGTTCTAAAAATCATCTATTTGAGAAAAAAATAGTATCTTTCTGATTAAAACTAAATAACATGCTATTTTATAAAATCATTCCTTTTACACTAAGCCCAAAGGAACAACCATTATAGAAAAATTTGCCACCTCTACGCTTTCAAATCGATAGAAATATTACAATTTATTCCTTCATTGTTATAATTAAATTAGCAGAAGAAACCAGAAAATTACGAAGAAGATAAACTTTATTTGGGCTCAATTCAATAATTTAAATATAATTTAAAATGTATTTTTATTTTGACNTAATTCATGATTTAATGTCTTTAAATTTTCATCTTTGTGTTTCTGATGTGCTCTTAATAATCCATCGAAAATTGTATTAATAGCTGATTTCTCTTCACCAGATGGAAATTAAAATTCACAAAATTGAACCGAATTTGATCCTAGGAAGAAATTGCTAAATATTGATCATAATTTTAATCCCAATCTACATAAAATACATAATATCCAGGTAGAAAATTTTTCAACAAAATAAGACTACTTTTTTAATTACAGTGTCAGATTTATAAACTTTAAGGGTTGTGGTTGCGTATAATTACTCTGCTTTAATCTTGCACGCAAAAACCTAACTAAATTCAGTGTATGAAAAAAAATTATATTAAAGTTCCCAAATATCATTTGAATTGTAAAAATAATTTTTGTAATTCAAAATTGATGTTTCAAATAAATTAATTATTGTAATATAAAAATTATGAATTTCAAAATCATGCCTTTAATTTTTAAATATAATATACTCATTACAATACAAAAATTAAAATCAATTATTTTTTAGCCTGTAAATATGTACACTTTATTAACCTAGTATTCAAATTGATCTGCTAGTTCTACTCCTAATAGTATTGATAATTTAAAGTTAGATGAATGTAATGTCGTCTAGAATGATTTTCTATAACTTGATAGTTAACTAATCAGATTATTGATAGTCTACTTAAAAAAAGTTAAATTGATAATTTTTAGAGTTATAATTAAAAATAAATAATGTTACGCTTATATAATTATCAAAATTACTTAATTATTGATTCGTATTACCTAAACTAAATCAATATCCAAAAACGATTTCATATTATATAGCACTGCTAAATTGTTAGATATTTAAAAAAATAAAGTTGATTTTCGATTAAGCGTACTTTAATAAAATAAATGAAAGCAAATTTTGTACTTATTTAATCTATTCACTAGGTATGAAATGAAATTAATTTATATTTTCCATTTAAAACTTCCCATATTCAGATGATATTATATTTTTACAATTTTAGTCTTTTAACTGCTTAAATTAATGTATCTTTTACTTCTTATTTCTATCTTGATTTTTTATTTGTACTTAATCTCGGTGAAAATATTTTAGATTTGGTTCTAAAAATCATCTATTTGAGAAAAAAATAGTATCTTTCTGATTAAAACTAAATAACATGCTATTTTATAAAATCATTCCTTTTACACTAAGCCCAAAGGAACAACCATTATAGAAAAATTTGCCACCTCTACGCTTTCAAATCGATAGAAATATTACAATTTATTCCTTCATTGTTATAATTAAATTAGCAGAAGAAACCAGAAAATTACGAAGAAGATAAACTTTATTTGGGCTCAATTCAATAATTTAAATATAATTTAAAATGTATTTTTATTTTGACTCTAGTTTTTAATGCAATTGTAACAAAAATTTGTTGCTAGAAGTAAATCAGCATTTTTATATAAAAATATCTCTTTAAAAGTAAATTAAATAAATATATCATCAATATCTATTTAATATTATAGATATTTAAAATCAAATCACATCAATGTTAAATAATCCTTATTAAAATAAGTTAATTATGCAAATAAGAGATTTTTTATGAATATTTTATATATATCTATATCAATATTAATCAGAATAAATAGATTTTTTTTATTTATATAATAAAAAATGTTATGAACTATTTATTTATAATAAGCATGGAAATATTGGATTATTCACAATTTATGATTATCTATTGCATTTCTCTATCAATTTTTATAAAAAATCCTTGCAGATCCAAATTAGTTCTATAGTTATACCTTTAAATAGTATACCAAAATAATATATTATTTTCAAAGTGAATATTTTTTAAGTGAACGAAAATATTGGTTTTAATTTTGAAGTAATTAGAAATAAGCAAGGTAATTTAAATTAAAAATCTCTTTGAATATTTAAGAATATTTATGAAACCTTAACAATAATAAAACTAAAATTTATCTTAGCAATAAGACGTGATTGTGAATTTGTTTAAGCTATTTATTTTATATTTTATCATCAGAAAGGTAAATCACTTTTATATTACATTCTTTAATTAAATTTTTTGAACTTTAAATAAATTGCTTGTTTTGATTATATAGAATAAGATAATTAAAATGATTCAAAATTTAGCTATTGCCTTGTGTATCACAATGGCCATTTCCATAACACTAAATCTTAATGAGATGTGTCATTGTTCTCAACTTATTGAAGAAAATGATTGTACTAAATCTGCTCTGTAGTGCAGTTGGGATTTTGGTTCCTAAAAATGCCAAGAAAATCCATGTTCAGATATCACATATTCTACCTCTTGCTTATAGTAATCATGGAGATGTTTTTGGGTTAATGGTCTATGCCAAGACTTTACCGATTGCTAGAATCTTAAAGGATCATCTTAATCTAGTTGCATCAATTAAAACATTTATTGTCCAGCTTCAAATGGCACCAATTGTTAATCTATAGATAATCTCTAAAATTGTACATCCATTACTACTAGAGATAATTGTAACAATTACTATTCAGCTGAAGGATTATGCATATGGAATGGGCAAAATTGCATTCTACCTACATCTTGTTCTCAACTATCTAATAGTATTTATCCTACTTGTGATTTGAATGAATGCACTTATAATAAAGACACTTATTAATGTCTGCCAAGAACATGTTAAGAATATTAAGATGAAATTAAATGTTCATAAGGAGTACTAGTATTTGGTCCTTATTTAAATAATGTTATAGGATGCTTTTGGAATTATTAATCACAATCTTGTCAAGAATATGATCCTTTTTCAATGAATGATTAGAATTGCTATAATTCTAGTTTTGGAACCTACCATTGGAAGAAAGAAAAACATTAAGAAGGGGAGTGTATTTCTTGTTATTAATAATTGTTGATTCTATCGATTATTATAACAATGCTAATTTGAATGATATTATTCATAAATAATGAAAAATTAAATAAATATGCATGATAATAAATATATTGATTTTTATTTTCTTTCGATTATTAATTCTGAATACTTGAATTAAAAATGCATAGATAATTAGATTGAATTATGGTTACAATATTTTTATTTGTGTTAATTCAATTAATTGAGAAATAATTTATCTAAAATTTTGATAAAGATTTATTAATATATTCTAAATGAATTACTCATCAAAAGGAATTTTTAATTATAAATTTGGAATTTGTTATGCATATCCTGTGGAAGTTCTTGCTCTAACTCATTTTTTAATTATTTTCTATAAAATAATTGGAAAGATAATCCTTCTATTTTTCAACATAATTCACTGATAGTTAAATATTATTCGAAATTAAGATAAATAATTTTTTATTAATTGATTAATCAATAAAATTAAGTAATCAATCAATTAAAATTGATATTAATGATATTTTCAGTAGCATTTAGAATTTGTCATCTTATTATCGCTTATAAATTAGCAATTCTGATGATGACCTTAACTAAAAAGCAAAGATATCACAAGTAATAAATCCTATACGATATCCGAACCCATCCTTGATAATTTATTTTATTTCCCAAAAAGAATCAGCATTCAATTTTCTCATCACAATTATCTATCTACGAGGAGTACAAGCAATTATATCATCTCGTTATGGATTAATTGATAAACCGTAAATATCCCCAAGATAGGAATTTTAATAATCTTAAATTATTTATTACTTTTCCCATTGATTATTATTGAAATTCCAAAAAATGATTGCCCTGCCATCACAACCAGACACAAATAAAATTTGGTGATAAGGATCTAATGTTAAGCAATTGATTTATTTTTTATGTTCTTATAATTTTTATATATACTTTGAGGATGAAGCAAGTACAAATGCTGAAATTATTATTGAATTATCTTTTGAGGTTGAGAAGTAATTAGTTTTTAAATTACAAATCGTTAGAGTTGTGACCGTTTTCTTATGTATTGTCACAATATTCAACAGCTTCATTTAATCTTTAAAAAAATTAAAAAGCTTAACAGTTTTCCAGATGCAGTTAAAATAAAGTTTTTACTATTATTAATGGCTATTGCTTTACAAACTTAAGATTGCAAAACAATGCTTGAATTACTCGATTGAAAGGAGAATATATTTTAAACTTCATCTTTATTAACATTCATTTATTTAATTTATAATTTATCATTAATCAGAAATAAATAAATTCTTTAGTCTAATTAATAGATTTATAAATTTTAATTTTACCATCTAAAAGTTGTAGATAGTTAACTAAAATGTATTAAATTAAAATATAATAAGCTCTCTAAATTATGAAAGAATCATAAAATCACATTTTACGAAAAGAAGATTAGATCAATATGTGGGGAGTAAAACAATAAGAAAAATACTAATTAATTGAACGAATCAATAACTATAACTCCATATTAACTATCAAAGATTACGGTTGGAAATATCTTAGGTAAGAGTTATAGTGTGGTTCTAAAGATAGAAATATGAAAAAATGTTATCTAAGCGAAAAAAACTAATCTTTTCCAAGTAAATATTATTCAATATTTTTTGATAATAATTTGGCTCCATTAGGTCAAGAAGTTAGATTCTATCCATCGATTCTAGCAGTATTTAAAATAATTTTTATAATAATATTAACAAACAAATCCCAATCAGTATAATATCTTGGAATATCTTATCACTGAAAATTGAACATAAAGATTAGTTAAACAATAAGGTCCTTATTTCTTTTTTTAGAAGAAAAGACTAGAATAATAACTATCAAAAATCTGCTGTTTAGGGATCAATATAACAAATATTTTTTGAAATTGTTTTAATATTTATAAAATTCATTTGAAACTCATATTAACATAGTTTAAATACCATATTAAAATAAACTTTACCTTATTATGAAATGGATTATCAATTCCTCAAAAATTACTTCAACCATTATTGAGTTGACTATAAAAGTGTTAAAAATGAATTATTTGCAAAAATAAGCTAATTTTGGAGCTAAAAACCTAAAAAATATATTTAATTTATAAAAAAGAATAATACTTCTCTTGTTTCATAACCTTAAATATTAATATTTAATTAGTATAGGCATTTTTTTCATTGCTGTTTTTCGAGGCCTTATGGTATTTATTTTATGCTTTGAAGTTTGAAACAATTGAAATTGATAAGATTTAACCAATTTAAGATATAATTTATGTGATTCTAAAAATATTGTTTGCCTATCTTGCCGAATAGCAAGGTAACATTAATGAGGAAAATTAATTTTTATAAATAATTTCCTAAATTTTATTCATAGAGTTCATATCTGAATTTTTTTAATGAAGAGAGAAGTAATTGGAAATTATTAGAAGAAATTTAATGAAATCAGATAATTTTGTTTGAGTATATTTAGCTTATGAATAGAAAAAAAAGACAATTTTATTATAAACTTATTTTTATTTGTTTTAATTTATTAATATTGAATGAAGCATTTCAGCTTTTAAAACGCTTTATCAAATATTTTTTTCTCAATTAAACTTCAAATAATATGAGATTATTTTAAGAACGTAATTCATTTACTTTGATGATAATTTTAACAATTATAATAAAAAATTAATCAAAAGCGGACTAACAATAATAGTATAGTTATTTTAATCTTAATTTAAATAACTAAATAGGATTGCATAAGATAACCAAAAGACTTAAATTCATTATTGGAGAGAAATCATTAGAAAGTTTTATCATATTAATCAGGAGCATTGATTTCATTAAAAAAAGGTAATCCATTTAAAGAAGGGAATAATAGCGTTTGTTTAAGAGATAGGATATTAAAGATTTTTCATTTGGAGTACCCTATACCTATGGTGGATTAGGGCAATAAATTTCCATATAACTACTCTAAAAATATTTATTGAATACATTAAAAATTCGGTTTTAGGAATATGGCTTTCTTTATAATGAATCAGTCAGGTATTACGATATAATTGTTTATGCTAAATTAGATTAGGAACAAATAAAATTTATGTGAGTAACATAAAAATCTTAGCTACTATTAAAATTTCCAGATTAGTTTGTTGATGAATTTTAAATATTCAATGAAGGAGGTAATATAGTTTAATATATAAATGCAGTTACACTTACAACTATGGTTTACACAGCATTAAAGTTGGAGCTTATTATAAATTTTCATGAGTATAAATAAATTTATTCTTAATTAATTTCAATCAATTGCTCCATCATTAAAAATGTTAACTTAAATTAAAGTAGTTAAAGGATAAATAGATATTAAATGAAGAGTATATCTAATTGAGTTAAATAAATATGTTCATTATATTCTAAAAATTTCCTGTATTTGAAATAATAGATTTTCTAAAGAAGTAAATTTTTATTGTATTTTTTGGTTTAATCAATTTAATATTTGCAAAAATATATGAAATATATTTAATAAGATTTAAATCTTTGCTTAGTTTCAGTTGTAAACATCTATGTAAGAATAGATTTTTTAACTTCTTCCATTTATTCTTTCTATGCTTAGCATTACTTAAGCTATTCTAACTAATTCTAATCTAATTAATTTATCTATTAATATATATGATAATATTCATATACATCTTAANATATATTGTAATAATCTTTAAGAGGTAATAATACCTAAATACTTCAAATAATAGGAGTAGACAGTCTTTCTAAATCTAAGTAAGTTTTCAAATAGTCTCGATCAGTTAACTAATATTTTATCCATTTTTAGTTCCATAAGCCACATGTTAAACCCAAACCTTCTCAATACTCAATATGAAAATAATCGATCTGTTCATAATTTTGCGATTGAAAATATTATTAGTTTTTTACAAACAAACATAACAATTCAAAAATTAAAAAGAGACTTCTTAAGCAATATCCTCTTAAAGAATTAAATTGAGATTTACTTAAAAAAATTTTAATTTTAATTTGATTTTACCTTTAATACATGCTTTTTCATCTTTTGTCATTTCCAATAGGTTTTTTCAATAAATTATTTGTAAATGAAAAAAATTGATGAATTTTTGATATAAAATTAATCCTCAGACAACATTTTCAATTAGTGATTATTCCTTTGTATATTTTCTAATCAGAATCAGTTTATCAGAATCACTCCTAATTATAGTCGCATAATTTAAGCTATTCTAACTAATTCTAATGTAATTAATTTATCTATTAATATATATGATAATAATAAATTATTCATTTATTTTATAATTCATATGTTGAATATCCTATCTTGTTATCATCCAAATAAACCAAATATTGTCCATTATTTGTGATAGTCCCATAAACAGGATATGTGTCACAATTTAATTAATCAACTATTTTGAACTTACCATCATTCATTTCTCTAATGAGATAAATTTATGTTTTATGTCTTACAATTATCAAATTCTTCTCCTTATTATATATTATTGGAAAGTGAAATTCATTTAAGATCTAATTATTTGTAATTAATTGAATAGTCTTTTCTTAATTTTCTTAAAAGATTCCTTCTTTTAATTTAAATACATTACATTTATCTATTGCTTTACCACCATATATCCAAATAAATTAATTGCCTTTAATAAACTTAGCCTTAAGCCCATAATCTTAAATTAATTATTTAAAGATGAAGTGATTGATAACTATAATTCAATTTAGCAATGATATATTTTATAATATGTTATAAATTTCATCTATTATAACAAATTATTTGAATTCATACTTATCTTATTCTCTTCTTTCCCAAATGATTTTTATTTCTTTCCATCTGCACACGAAACTAATTATGATTCTGATTAATTTAAACTTAATGCTATCACCTCATTATTATGCTTATTTAATGAATAATTTTATATCAATACAATTTTATCAAAGAACCTTCCATACTTTAATTCAATTATCTTCATTTCCAGAAAATAGTAAATCCTCATTTGAATTCAATATAATAAATTTTGCAAATAATCTATGTTTTTTATAAGGTTATGAACTAATCCAATTAGTTGAGTCCTATTATTTTCAGTATCTTATTGTATTGTCATCTGCAACAAAGGAATTCTATTTCTAACTATAGATTAAACACCTAATCGAATCATTATGTCCTTACAATATTGTTTGTAATTTAATTGTTCCATTTAGAAAGCTCCATGTTTTAATATTGTTCGATTAAGTTTATAGGCCCAGAAGAATCAAAAACTATTGCCCAACATCTCTCAATTTATTTAACAGATTAATCAATTAATCTTAATTTGAATTCATTCATCTTCTTATAAATTTTTTTATTTAATTGGTTTGATTTAATAATCCATATTAAATTCATTAATTCTATTCCATTACCTTTGTGATGAAAATGAATTAATGAATTGACAGTCACTAAATAAAAAAATTATACAATTGGGAGAATTTATATGTAAATTCAAAAGATCATTTGATTTAAGCAGAAAAGTTTGTTGAAAACAAAATTAGAAATAGATGTAATTTTCTAATTTAATGTTGATTTAACATTATGGAATTATTTTATAAATAATACATTATTTAATCATCTAAACTGGTCAAATGTTATTCCTTTGAAATATAAGTTATATCTAATCTACTTCTTTTATGAATTTCATATTTTTGTTACATCTTTTAAATTTTTAAAATGAGTAACTTTGCGAAAGATTTCATTTATTTTTATTGAATCCTATTTTATCTTAAAAGAAGTTTTCTTCCTAAGACTAATCAATTATTTACTTTATATACAAATATTCATAAAAAAAAACTTTTAAAAAATATTTATATAAAAAAATGGTTATGCATAAATATCAATAAGTCATACATAAATTAATAAAGGGTATAATTCTAAGAACAAAGTTTAATACCTCATCTTCACATCTATCACAGTTTCAACAAAATTTGATAGCAATTTTTATAATAATGCATATCATTAAAATTTCCAATAACAAAAGCAGAGAATCCAATTGAAAAGGATATGACATATTTCAGTATTGCAAGGATTCTAACAAAATTACCTAGAATAGAAAGTACCAACATTTTTTAATTTTCTAACAATCTCTTTAATGGAGAGTGTATTAAAAAAATAAGAAAAAAATTTTAATCTCCTTTAATATTTTTCCCTTAAAGGAATGAAAATTTAATAAAACGTAAAAAAAAATATATATATAATTAAGATTTGATTTGTATTTCAATTTGCATCATAATACTATAATGCTTCTTCAAATCTATTCATATCTATTAAGGCTAAGGCTAAGAAATTAATAATCTGGAATTTATACCTTTGTTATTAAAGTATTCTGTATTTTTGGGGTTTTTCTGAATAGCTTAATCGTAATACTCCAATGCTTCTTAAAATCTATTCATTTTTTGTAAGGCAATGGCTAAGAAAATATACATCATAAAATTATACCTTTGCCATTATAATAATCTGCATTTTCTGGGTTTTTCTGAATAGCTGAATCATAATACTCCAATGCTTCTTCAGATCTATTCATTTTATTTAAAGTTCTTGCTACAAAAAATATGCACTTTTTAACCTTTATCATCGAAAACAATTCCATTTTCTGGATTTAACTAAATAGCTGAATCGTAAAATTTTAGTGCTTCTTCAAATCTAGAAATTTTTTCTAGTAATTTTGCTATAAAGTAAAAATATTAAAATTAACCACTATTATGATGATAAATTGCATATAATTGATCTTTTTATATTGCTAAATCATAATATTTTAATGCTTTTTCATAACTATTCATATTTTCTAATGTTAGTGCTTTAAAGTTCAAGTATAAATATACCCTTATTATTATAATAGTCTGCAACTTCTGGATCTTTTTCAATTGCTAAATCATAATATGTTAATGCTTCTTCAAATCTATTCATTTTATCTAATGTTCTTCCTATCAAATTTATGGATAAATATACCTTTTTCATGAAAATAGCCAGCAAATTCTGGATATTTAGATATTGCTAAATCAAAAAATTCTAATGCTTCTTCATATCTATTCATATTATCTAATGTTATTGCTATCAAATTTAAGTATAAATATACCTTTTTACATAAAATAGTCTGCATCATCGGGATTGTTTTTTATTGCTTAATCATACTATTATAATGCTTCTTAATGTCTATTCATATTATCTAATGTTAGTGCTTTAAAGTTCAAGTATAAATATACCTTTATTATTGAAATAGTCTGCAACTTCTGGATCTTTTTCAATTGCTAAATTATAATATTTTAAAGCTTCTTAATGTCTATTCATATTATATAATGTTAGTGCTTTAAAGTTCAAGTATAAATATACCCTTATTATTATAATAGTCTGCAATTTCTGGATCTTTTTCAATTGCTAAATCATAATATTTTAAAGCTTCTTCAAATCTATTCATTTTATCTAATGTTAGTGCTTTAAAGTTCAAGTATAAATATACCTTTATTATTATAATAGTCTGCAACTTCTGGATCTTTTCCAATAGCTAAATCAAAAAATTCTAATGCTTCTTCATATCTATTCATATTATCTAATGTTAGTGCTTTAAAGTTCAAGTCTAAATATACCCTTATTATTATAATAGTCTGCAACTTCTGGATCTTTTCCAATAGCTAAATCATAATATTTTAAAGCTTCTTCAAATCTTTTCATTTTATCTAATGTTAGTGCTTTAAAGTTCAAGTATAAATATACCTTTATTATTATAATAGCCAGCAAATTCTGGATATTTAGATATTGCTAAATCAAAAAATTCTAATGCTTCTTCATATCTATTCATATTATCTAATGTTATTGCTATCAAATTTAAGGATAAATATACCTTTTTACATAAAATAGTCTGCATCATCGGGATTGTTTTTTATTGCTTAATCATACTATTATAATGCTTCTTAATGTCTATTCATATTATCTAATGTTAGTGCTTTAAAGTTCAAGTATAAATATACCTTTATTATTGAAATAGTCTGCAACTTCTGGATCTTTTTCAATTGCTAAATCATAATATTTTAAAGCTTCTTCAAATCTATTCAATTTATCTAATGTTCTTGCTATCAAATTTATGGATAAATATACCTTTTTCCATAAAATAGTCTGCATCATCAGGATTTATTTTTGTAGCTTAATCACACCATTATAATGCTTCTTAATATCTATTCATATTATTTAATGTTATTGCTATATTTTTGACTATAAATATACCTTTTGAATAATAATAGTCTGCATCAACAGGATTTATTTTTATTGCTTAATCATAATATTTCAATGCTTCCTCGTATCTATCCATATCATCTAATGTTATTGCTTTATAGTTTGAGTTTAAATAAATACCTTTATTATAATAATATTTTGATTCTTCTGGATTAATTTTAATCGCTTCATTATATTATTCTAAAGCTTCTTCAAATCTATACATATTCGATAATGTTGCTCCTACATAAAAATTTATTTGGAAAATATTAACCTTTTCCATTAAATAATCGGGGGTCTTTTGGATTTTTCTAGATTGCTAAATCATAACATAATAGTGCTTCTTCATATCTAAAATTATTATCTAATTATATTGCTATTAAGTTTTAGAGTAAATGTACCTTTATTAAGTTTATCGTCTGACTCTTCTAGTCCTAGATTGTTTTAAATCGTTAAATCATCGCAATTTACAGTTTCTTTCAATTCATTCATATTATCTAATGTCATTGTTTCATTACTTTAATGATACTTTATTAACAATAATACCCTCCCAATTTTTGGATTTCCTAGATCAATTATGCAGATTTTCTAGGATTTTGTTGCTTAATTAATACTGTGCTCCATTACAACTTTTTTTATGGGCTTTCCTGTTTTTTTTTTGATAGCTTATTTGTCTACAATTTATTTTTTTTCCTCATCTCAATTAGAATTTATTTTTTTGATTTGATATTCACCTTAATTCGACTAAATCTATGAGATTTTATAATTCCTTCAGCATTTTATTGTTGAATTATTCTATTAAGATTCTACAATTTTATTAGTTAAGCAAAAATATTAATAAGTGCTATTATACTCTATATTCATATACATCTATATTTATTGACGGAATTACTACTTAATTACATTATTAATTGTAATTACAAATTAATATCATCCTTATAATCGAAATATTGTATTAGATTGATAATAAGAATATTTTGAGTATCGTTTTTGAAAAAGCCTAAAGAAGAATAATAATCATACATTCTTAATTTTATATATTAAAACTACTCATTTTAAATATTATTATTGTTTTTAAATTAGTTAAAAATTAGATATAATGAAATCTTAATTCCTTCTACTAGATTTTAAGTATGAATTGTTCTGGAAAAAATGGAATAGATGGTTGTTGATAATAACCAGATCAAATAGCCTATCAATTTTTAGTTCTTGTAATTTTGAGATGAAGTTTCAATCAAAAGAAAAACGAGTTGTTAGAGAGACAACAGAAATATCAAATATTATTAATGAAGTGGGGAAGAATTGAAAAAAAAGTAAGTATTACTAAAAGAAATTAATTTTTATATTATTATTCTTTTAGAGCATCAAATACATAATTTAATATCAGTATTTATATTTTTGTTCAGGTTTTTCTGTTCAATCTATGAATTCAGTGTTAGTATTTCATGTCAATTGTTTGACTTATGCAAGAAATTACTTATGGTGAATCTCTTTGAAGAGAATCCGCTGTTTATATGAGACTTTAATATAGGTATATTTATAGATAATAAAAATTATAAATATAAGGAAATGTCAATTTCATTAGTATCCAAATTTACCTTATTCAATATTATTCTTTACTTATTGATATACCCTTAAATATGTATGAATATTTATTAAGAAAAATTATATGGATACTCTATATTAATGAGGATAATCAAAATAATAATATAAATTTATTCTAAGTTAAGTTCTCATCTATCTAATGTTTATTCAAAATATGAAAACAGATAATGTGACTTTTTTCATATCATAGAATATCATAAATTCAAAATATCTCTTCTTATCCTTTATTGATGATATTATTAATATAAATTTTTGTACTTTTTCAAAATTATCTTCCTATACTAGTTAAAATTGTTAATTGCTAAGTCCAAAAATACATAATATATTACATTTTCCTAGGCTTCATGTTTTAAAAATTCAATTTTTAAGTATTTTCAATATTATCCTATAATCTGATTGAGTAAGGATAAATGTAAAAAATCATAATAAAATCTTAATCTAAATAATATTTATAAAAGTGATAAAAATTGTAAGAAATGCTGAAAATATTGTATGAAAATAAAATGATAAAATCAATTTCTAATATAATATATTTAAATACTTCCTTAGAGATTTTAGATTAATTAATAGATAAAAAGATGAGAAGGAAGATAACATGTAAAATAGTATATCATTTTATCAAGATTATGTTTGGGATTGTTGTTATTCTCGTTTTGTAAAAAGTGAAGTCTAAATGATCTAAACTTCTAAATAAGAATTCCAATATACAACAATTTAAGGATCTATCCTTAAATTGTAAAGATTTTTATATTTAATTTTAGTGATATAATTTATAGAAGATTGATAGATAGACTGCTCCATAGAATGGAGAAATTTTAGAAAATGTTTGGTAGATGCTACTTTGAAAAAAACGATGAAGTAAAGTAAGGGTTATGGAAGGAATTAATAAAGAGTTATTGGAGGTATTTTTAATTAATTATTATTTTTAATTAGTAAGGTTTAAGTCTATTAAATTGAAGAATACTGCAATGTTTAAAGAACATGAATATGGAAATATATTATTAAGAATGAATAGATGTAAGTTTTATATTTAACATATATTGTAAAGTAAGGGTGGATTTTAGTTAAGGTTAAAAAATAGGAAAAGGGATTTAAATAAACATAATTTTTGGGAGTATTTAATATCATAATGCAATATTACTTATAATTAGGCAAAGCTATATTACTTTTCTAGGTCAATATTATAATCGTATAAAAAGATTTGTGGGATATCTATTATAATAAGAATTTGAAGAATAATGGAATGAATTGATTTAACATATTATGGGTTTAAATTTTTATTATTGAGACACTTGATTATATAATACCCAAGGAAGGAATACTAAAGTAGGGAAAATGGATTGAAGTTTAAGAAGGATCTTGAAGGTACACTAATATTCAATTACTATTAATTTAGAAGTAGTTTGATAATACATATTGGCAACTATAAAAATTCAGTAAAATTGGCATTTAGGATATGGAATGGAAAAATAGAAAAAAATGTAAAATATTAAAATCTTTTACATGTAACTAGGAGTGGTGGAATTTATGATGATAATGGAGGCATTACATTAGAAAGATGGATTTAGTTGTATTTCAGTTGTTTAGGAAGTATATGAATATCCTTAAACCTTTAATATTAGTGATCATTAAGTAATATTTAAAGGTTGATATTATTATGTCTTTAATTATATATGGGTGGCGGATTAAACGTTGAAAAATAGGAAGATGGATTGAGAATTGTCAATATTTCAGATTTAAATTTTAATATATTATTTTTAGTTCAATTAACTATATATTAATTGATTCAAAAGAATAATTTTACAAAAGTTAAGATAATATTGAAATTTCTAAATATTACCTAGTTATTTAGGTCTACTCTTGGTATGTAAGGCCCACTCTCTCATGTAAATATCTCCATAAAGTCTGATAAAATGTTTAATTATATATGATATTAAATTATGGATTTCACCTATTTATACAGTCAAAATAAGATGATTGTTTTAATTTGTCTTTTTATGGAGAGAAATATATGTACTTCGTATTTAAATTGAGAATTTTTATTTGTTTATTTTTTTTTAATTGGATGTTACAAATTTATATGACTTGCAAAAATTATTCTAAAAAAGTAAAAAAAATTAATTAACATTTTTTAATTTATTTATTTAGAAGTACTTAGAATAAGATATGCATTAGCTAATTTATGATGGCAGTACTTTAAAAACGAGGATAGCCTAACTGAAGTAATGTCAAATATTAATGAAAAGTAAATAGATTAATCTCATTTATTGTTAAGCATTTCAAAGATTTAATATAAAATTAAACATTGTGAATAGTTTAATAATTCTAACAAGGCCTCGTTTAAATAGCTTAAGAGAGGTTATAATTTTTAATAAAATTTAAACTGGAAAAATTTCTATTTTTTCCTTTTGTTATTTATGAAAAGGCATTAAATTTAAATTCTTAATAAATATTGAATTATTGTTAATTAATTAATTGATTAATATATTAGAGATTGAAATTTAAAATTTATTCCTATATTAATTACATCAGAAGGATAAAATTTATATTAATAATTTAATAGCAATATTCTCAAAACTAAGTAAAACCTGCCTTAGAATTTTCAAATCTTCAAGTAAATAAAAATTAATACTTCCTACTCCAAATTTAATTAAGGACTAAGACTTTTCATAGTAAAAACAGTTTCTCTTTAAAATAATGGGAATATTTATTTAATGGACATTTCTTGTTGTATTTTCTAGTATATTTTGAAACTGATTGTGTTCATCATAAGTAATTACAATATTATAGAAATAGTTTATGTTGTATTAAATTCAGGTAAACATGAATAAGCTTGAAAATTATATGACTGACAATATTATTTTAAGATCCATCTTTCTTTCTTAATAAAATCGTGTTTATTATAAATATTAATTTGTCAATTTCTTGTTAAATATAACTGTGCATAATATGAAAATTTGCTAATGCTCTAAATAAAGATTATCCATCAATTCATACTAAAGCTTAATTCAGAAATATTTCAATTTTGAGAAATTTTTATAAATATATTGAATATATGTGAAAGAGAATGACAGTTTTTTAAAGGTGGAGTAGTATAAATGGATATTTATCAAATAATTAATCAAATGTGAAATTTTGAGAAAAAGGATCATGTTAATAAAATATTTATTTCACTTCTTCCAATATAATATGATATGTAATCATATTATATTGGAAGAAAAAGTCACTTCATTGTTAGAAGCTTTGCTACCCTCCTATTCAACATATATTTGGAAACGTTTATGGAGCAAATTGGGTTGAAGGGAAATATTTTTTTGAAAATTATAACGATGATTTAGCTGTGATAATTAAAGAATAATATCAAAAATGCTTCTTTAAATTTTTAAGCGATTTAAGTGTAAAATGGAGTAAATTATTAAAAGGAAGTTCAATTAGAGAAAAAAATGAATATTTAGGAAATATAATAAATAAATTAGGTAATAAGTTAAAAAAAGAAAATTGTTGATCTAAATAAAAATATTGTTAAGAGTATACTCAGAGGGCAACATATAGGCATTTAATAATAATTTCATATAGAATTAAACGTAAATAAGCTTAATATATTCTTCAGATTCTTATTATAAAAAATAATAATAATAATATTGATGTTATAATTAATTTTAATTTATCAAGGAATCCATTATAGAATTTTATTTCTCGATGGAGAGGAAATGTTCAAATAATTTGCAAATTTTTTTCAATTTTGTTATAGGTCTCTAAAATCATATTCTAACTTCACAGCTGGTTCATTTGTTAGAAAACTACACAACTTGCAATACCTGAACACTGGAATCATATTATACTTCATATCCAGCGGTTGCAGTTGGTTTTTTTCAGAAAACAACTTGAACTCATATTGGCAGCTAATATTAGTGTAGTATTTCACTAAATAAGCCAGAAGATTATCTCTTAGTTTGAGCGTATCTAATAATTCACAGTGAATTCGTAGAAAGCTTTTACAACTGTTCATCAAATGGGTGGATACTACACCATTTGAACATAATTACATTAAGGATTTCTTCTTCGATCACCACATTATGGACCTCCACCCACCAGGGTAAGTCAGTTGATGATAAAGGGGATAGAGGCACATTTCCTGCTCCTTAGAAAAAAGTACTGTTTAGAGAACATTAGACTTAATTTTGTCTTTATTCAAGTTCAGATATTTTAGCTCTTATATCTGATAAATCCATATTTTTCATTTTTTATGCATGAATCTCTTTTTGACGCTCATATATTCATTGGATTATTTCCCAAAAGGGTTTTTTGTTAGACATTAAATATTCCCCCATCCTAGTCAGATTTTTAGACTCTTGAGCTACTAGAATTACAACTATGTACTTTGCTCCCATTAGAAGAAAATGCTCGATTTAATTTTTTCATTAAAATTTTCCTTAAAATAAATTATATACTTAATAATATTCTTAGTAATTTTAACTTAAAATTAATCTACATAAAACTATACTCCTCAATATTCTACCTTCCATATTAAGCATAACTCTGTAATATTTGATAATTTGGAGTCATTCATATAAATCAATTGTTAAGGGGGAGTATGAAGTCAAGAAATAATTTCTGAATTATTATAAATTATTTTTAAGTATCTAGATATAAAAATTATTATGTGTCTAGATGTTTTTTGATAACTTATAACATTTTCACAAGTGGAATTGTTTACCATGTCACAATTCAGTCTATGTTTGAAGGAATTATTCTCGCTCACTCACACTTAGCAATTCATTTATTAATTAATGTCAATCCAACGGATTATTAAATCGAACAAGGAGGGCCATATCTTCCCAGAAAAAAAGTTCCCTAAGTTCTGATTTTTTCCATCTGAAAAAATTAAGAGAAGCATGCAGTTTAGAATGTTTAAGAAGGCCTTATCAAAAATAAAATAATTATTAGAATCACTTCTATTTCATCTGTAAAAGCAAAGATTATCCCTAATTAGTCTTTCATTAGGCCTTTATTAAGGCAGCTCTACCTTGGCGATTGGCAGATGCCCTTCTTTAACTCACTGCTTGGACACCAGAAAAAAGAAAGATAATTTTAATAGTAATTTATGAATTAAAGATTGAAAATCGAAAGAGGGGTCTAGAAATCTCTAAAGAATAAGTTGTGCTTTAGGTATCATAATTTTCACAATCACAAATGATTTTACAAAATAAAAATAAAAAATTAGAAGTATCATAAATAATTATGAAGGACCAAAAGTTTAAAATTTACCAATAAGATTAAGTGTAATATTTATAATAATAATTATTGGGATAATAAGAAATATATATTGCTACTAATAATATATTAAATACTATTAGATTGAAATATAATACTATTATAAATTTCAATTCATGAAACAATCATTAATCATCTAACAAATCAAATATCCAAATTCATTAGGTTTATTTATTGAGGTTGTCACTGATAATTGGAGAAAAGCCAGAGTAAAAGCAAGATAATCTTTGATTTAAGGATTCCTTAATACCTAATCAACCATCAATAAATTTGTCTATACAATTAATAGAAATAAGTTGATGATTATAGAAATACAAATTTCTTACTATTTATTTGAATTTACAAGATAAGCTCTAGATTCATAATTAGTATTATTAATAATTTTTTCTTTCGAATGAAAAGTAAAAATATTATAACTCTACCTGTTAAAATTTTGAACTATTTTTTTTCTATATTAGTCTTTGCTTATTCTCCTTTGAATTGATTTTTTGAACTTGTGTCAAAAATATTTTGCGTAAATGAATATATATCGAGGTATTTCATAATATGAAACGGGACCTCTACATTATCTTTATAAATTGTGTGCCAAAACTATATCAAACTCTCTCCATGAAAACTAAGTTTACAAGTAAAAAAGAAATATGTTGATACCTTTTATATATTTCTATAAAAACTTTATGAAGAAAGGTGAATAACTTTCATAGAATGAAAGATATCATTAAGAATTCTTTCAAATTAAATATTATAAAAATTAGACTTCAAAATTAATTTAACAATAATGTTAGTCGATGTTTATACAAAATTATTTTTATTTTATCAAAATGAAATAGAATTATGTTTATTGGTACTCAATATACATAGTCATAATAATTCAGGCTAATTGCAAAAGGATGAACTTGACATTGATGTTTGTGTTTTATAAATCTAATTCAAAGTAAACTAAAAAGATTGATAAATCTATGTGTCAAAATAATAATCATTTCTATTTTTAGGTTGAAATTGGATATGTAAAACTAAATAATTAAGTTTAACAATGTAGATAAATCAACCAGCCAACTTCAAAAAAATAAAATTAGCAAACGAATTGAGTTTATAATAAAGTTTCATTCCAAAATTATTGCAATATATAATCTGATATTTTACAATAGCATTGCTAATTTAATCTTCTACATGTAGGAGATANGGGATAATAAGAAATATATATTGCTACTAATAATATATTAAATACTATTAGATTGAAATATAATACTATTATAAATTTCAATTCATGAAACAATCATTAATCATCTAACAAATCAAATATCCAAATTCATTAGGTTTATTTATTGAGGTTGTCACTGATAATTGGAGAAAAGCCAGAGTAAAAGCAAGATAATCTTTGATTTAAGGATTCCTTAATACCTAATCAACCATCAATAAATTTGTCTATACAATTAATAGAAATAAGTTGATGATTATAGAAATACAAATTTCTTACTATTTATTTGAATTTACAAGATAAGCTCTAGATTCATAATTAGTATTATTAATAATTTTTTCTTTCGAATGAAAAGTAAAAATATTATAACTCTACCTGTTAAAATTTTGAACTATTTTTTTTCTATATTAGTCTTTGCTTATTCTCCTTTGAATTGATTTTTTGAACTTGTGTCAAAAATATTTTGCGTAAATGAATATATATCGAGGTATTTCATAATATGAAACGGGACCTCTACATTATCTTTATAAATTGTGTGCCAAAACTATATCAAACTCTCTCCATGAAAACTAAGTTTACAAGTAAAAAAGAAATATGTTGATACCTTTTATATATTTCTATAAAAACTTTATGAAGAAAGGTGAATAACTTTCATAGAATGAAAGATATCATTAAGAATTCTTTCAAATTAAATATTATAAAAATTAGACTTCAAAATTAATTTAACAATAATGTTAGTCGATGTTTATACAAAATTATTTTTATTTTATCAAAATGAAATAGAATTATGTTTATTGGTACTCAATATACATAGTCATAATAATTCAGGCTAATTGCAAAAGGATGAACTTGACATTGATGTTTGTGTTTTATAAATCTAATTCAAAGTAAACTAAAAAGATTGATAAATCTATGTGTCAAAATAATAATCATTTCTATTTTTAGGTTGAAATTGGATATGTAAAACTAAATAATTAAGTTTAACAATGTAGATAAATCAACCAGCCAACTTCAAAAAAATAAAATTAGCAAACGAATTGAGTTTATAATAAAGTTTCATTCCAAAATTATTGCAATATATAATCTGATATTTTACAATAGCATTGCTAATTTAATCTTCTACATGTAGGAGATAAAAAAACCTGTTGGGTCCTAGTGTTATCATAAAGTTTTTTAACAATAATGAAAGTAAGAAATTGTTAAATTGATTTAAATTTATAACTTTTTGTTGGGTTTTTGGCAAATCATTCTGTAAGATAATGAAGTTCATTCATAATAATTTTTCACAACTAAATATGAATTGATTTACAGAATATTTATATCATCAATTAATAATCATCGAAAATGTTCCAAAAACTTTCCTATAATATGTTTTTTTTTCTTCATAAACATAAATCTATGTTGCTTTTCGAGTTTATTTTTTGATCTTTAAGGCACCTTTCAAAAAGAAAACTCCTCTGCTTCAATATCAAAATCTACATGAATATAATTTAAATATTATAAATAACTTTAATTAATAGCAAAGTAGAATCAATATTTTATATTATATAAAAAAATACTTTATATTCCCTGTTATCAAATTTTATTAAAATTATGGATATTATAAATCCATTTGAGTCCATCTTTTAAATTTTCTCCTGTTATTGCTCAATTCAAATTGTTAGAAATTGTTTTAAAGAACTTATAAAGAAGGTAGAGGAAATATTGTTATACTTATATTATAAATTAATCATATTACAGTAAAAAGCATTTTTATTGTAATATAAATTGGTAAAGATTTAATAATCATATTTATCATGAATTAAAGTGATGATATAACTATCAAATGTCCAAATAACATAAGAGAATGATATATTTAATTTATGAAGATGGGAGTATTGATGTTATTATAGTAGAGGAACCATGTAATATAATTTTATAAAATATTAAGCTTATGATGGAAGTAATATATATAATAATTAGCTTAGATTAAAGCATTATTTTCATAAAGATTTTATTAATAATTATAGGAAATAATAATTAGGAGTAAATTATGGAGAGATCTAAATGCTAAGTCTTTTTGATATCAAATTTCAAAAAAGAATTTTATATCAACATTAGTTATTGAGCTTGCAATTCTATATCATTTTAATTTCTTTTTAAATTAAATTTATAGAGAATTTTTTGGCTCTTGCTCAATATTATTTTAGAAATTTAAGAAAAATCAATTTTAATGAAAGAGAAGTAGGAGAATAAATTCTAAATTATAGGCATTATTTTAAAAAAAATTGAAATATATAGGACGTCATATATTATTTTAATTTGATAAAATTATATCAAATTTAATAAGATGTAGTAGATATTTTCAGATAAATGCAGTTGTTATTGGAAGGAGTTCATAGATTACAATCCTTAGACTTTGAAGAAAGGATTGAAATTATATGATATTTAATTATGTAATAAAATTAGTAGAGTGTATAGAATGGTTAATATGAGGCTCAAATTGTTATGAAAAGTAAGGAAAAATTACATGAATGAAGCATTCAAAAATATAAGTGAAGGGAACTTATTCAAATTTAATCGAAAATCTTTGGATATAGTTCTATCAGCCGATATTAAATTATCATTAATTTTTCATAAATTACTACATTCTTCAAATCCTCAATGCAAGATTTTGAATTCATTCACATCTATTCTGATATTCAAACCTAATTAGGAATATTTATAGAAGATATTTTCGATATAAATTAAAAAATGTTTTTACTTAATATATTATATTCACAATTTTTGTTAATGATTAGACTAATATAAGTATTTATGATGAAACAGTAATAGAACCCTATATTTCTATGTTTAATGATTGTTTTTTGTAAAGCAAGAGGAAAAATTCAAATATCCCTGGAACTACATGAAAATCTAAATAGCATTTCCTTCAAATCTATATGCTTAAACTACTTATGAGTATTAAAAAGGAATAATTAGAGCTTAATTAAGAGATGGATGATAAAAAACCTGTCAAAGAAGGTAATTAAATTTCATATATTGCATGATAACATATTAATTAGAACATTCTATTCATAATATATCTGCTTCTGAATAAACTCTTTAATATGGTTTTTAAAGTATTCCTTAAGAGGTAAGTGAATGTCATTTGCAAATAGTGAAATAGGCAATACATTAAAATTCTCTTAATTCTAGCATTTATCCATGCTACTGAAAATTAATTATCTAAATTCAGGGGAAAGTTTTGTTTATAATTTAAACAATATTGAAACTACAACTATTTAATCTATGTTGATGAATTCATCTATTTTTATAACTCTAATCAGAGTTTAGATAGATAAAAGCCATTTTTCATTATCAATAATAGTACTGCTTATAAAGCTTTGGTGCATAAATGATAATATCAATAGCGCATGAATTGAAGGAATAACATTTATATATCTTCTTCATTTCTTAATGGGCAAGGATGATCTGAAATATATTTATATTACTTGGTACTCAAACAAACTTAATTAATTTGAATTAAGATAAGAATGATTAGGAATTGGTGCATATATATGGATAATTCAAGTAGGAAGATAGAAGTTGGGTTTTCAATTGTAAAAAAAGTTAAGAATATCAATAATAAATGATTTAAGGGAGAGAAAATTTATTAGCTTTGATTAAATATATTACAATAGATTATTGTATCAAAAAAATGTATAGATTCAGTTGAATGTTGAAAAAAATTTGAAAAGATAAAATGTTCCTCAATAAATAGATTTGTTAGACATTCTTAATCAGTAATTTGAGTAAACAATCGTTAAATAATTTAAAAAGTAATAAGATAAAGAATCAAAGAAGACAATTATGTGATATAACTTTCTCCTTTTGGCTATTAAAGATTAATTTTATTAAGAGTATTAAAATAAGGATGTTTTAATGGAATATTACATAATTCAAGAAAATAAATCGAGATTGAAGATATGTTTTCATAAAGATAAATAAAAACAAAAGTGATGGCTAGCATAGTTAAAGTTTTAAAAGAAATTGATTATTTGTATTTTATATAAATTTATCTATCTCTTAATAATTTTCATAATTATGCTAGTTATACCTTTATGTAAAATTCATTTGCAGATCCTGCATTAAGTGCATTTTAATAAAACTTTTTAGCTTCTTTTTTTTTCCCTAAAGCAAGTAGAGCTTCAGCTAAAATAATTATTGTTGTTTTAAGAATACCTTTATTTAAGAAAAAAATAGAACTTTGTTGAAGACTTAGAGCTTTATCATAAAACTCAATTGCTCTTTGATATTGCTTCATTTAATGTAGAGTATAAGCTATTAATTAAAATGAATAATTGACCTTTATTATTATATATACTAGCTTCATTAGGACTCAGTTAAATTGATATATCATAGCATTGAATAGCTTCATTATATTGATTTAGATTTCTTAACGCCGATCCTATTCATTAAAATTGATTCAAATCAATACCTTTGTTATAATATGCATCAGCATTTCTATTATTCAATTATATGGCTTTATCATATTATTCAATAGCTTCTTTATATTGATTTAGATTTTGTAATGCCATTCCTATTCATAATCATTTTATCAAAGCCATACCTTTGTTGTTGTAGGTATTGTCATTCTTAGGATTCAATTCTATGGCTTTATCAAAGCATTCAATCGCTTTTTGATATTGACTTAGATTTTGTAATATCGCACCTATTTAGATGATTTATTCAAGCCAATACCTTTGTTGATATAAAAATTCTCATTCTTAGGATTTAATTCTATGGATTTATCATATTATTCAATAGCTTCTTTATATTGATTTAGATTTTGTAATGCTGTTCCTATTTATAATAATTAAATCGAAGCAATACCTTTGTTATTGTAGGCATTGTCATTCTTAGGATTCAATTCTATGGCTTTATCATATTATTCAATAGCTTCTTTATATTGATTTAGATTTTGTAATGCCATTCCTATTCATAATCATTTTATCAAAGCCATACCTTTGTTGTTGTAGGTATTGTCATTCTTAGGATTCAATTCTATGGCTTTATCAAAGCATTCAATCGCTTTTTGATATTGACTTAGATTTTGTAATATCACACCTATTTAGATCATTTATTCAAGCCAATACCTTTGTTGATATAAACATTCTCATTCTTAGGATTTAATTCTATGGATTTATCATATTATTCAATAGCTTCTTTATATTGATTTAGATTTTGTAATGCTGTTCCTATTTATAATAATTAAATCGAAGCAATACCTTTGTTGTTGTATGCATTGTCATTCTTAGGATTTAAATATATGGCTATATCACAACATTGAATCCCTTCTTCAATTCTTAATAAATGAAATAATGATTAACCTAAAAATATTAAATTAGATATATTACTTTTCCACCGCAATAATTCATCGATTGAAGTTTAAAGAGATAGTGTTTTGTCATAAAATTTAATAGCATCTTCATGTTTCCCTTCATTTGTTAATTACATCGCCATTTCAAAATTTTTTTCAATTTCTTATTGTTTGTCATTCTTTTTTTCCTTCTATTTTAATATTTCTTAGAATTCATTTAATTAATTTATAAATTAATCTAAATCAATTAAATGATAAATTAACCTTCTTTTTTTTATTACTCTAATGAATAGTATGACTTCAAAATATTGATTGACTATCTGAATTTAAAGTAGTCTTAGGTTATTAAAGATTAATTTAAATCTTATAAAGTTTAAATCTGGTTATCAATTCTTTTGATATTTGATTCTATTTATTTTTTTATTTGATTGAAGACTTCATTTGATTACTGTATTATTTTCTCCTAAAATTAAATATATTAATTAATTAAATCAGAAATGTTTGTAAATCTGATGCAATCATCATGATGGTCTTTATGCACTTTCAATAAGCATTTGTAACAATACTGGCTAGGGTTTTAACACTTAGAATTAAGACAAAAGCCTATTATGGCTTCATTTTCATGATCTTCATATTGGCACTTGAAGTTTTCCATTTTTAATATTTTAAATAATTAAATGATACGATAAATATTTAATTAATTATAAAATATAATTAAAGCATTTATAAAGATTACTTATTAATATATTGTTTAATCATAGAAATACCTTAATTATTCTATTGAAATAAGGAAAATATTTACAATTAAAAAATGCAAAACTATTTTTACTCCTCTTTTATATTAAGTAGTTCTTTAATCTTTTTCTGCTATTGTTAAAATGCGATTCGTCCTATCCTTAAAATTTTATTCTCTATCATTTCTATTCTAGAATAGACAACATATTGGATCAAAAAGTATACTAAATATATTTAAATTGTTAATAAAAAGTTTCAATCACAAAAAATAATAATATTTTTAGTTTAGCGGGAATAATTATAAAAGCTTATTTGAGGAGCAATTTTGATTACTTCATTTCTATTATAAATAAACCCGCGGCAATCAAAACTAAACCAATTTTCATGTAATTAATTAATCCCAAATTTAGTAATTCTTCAAATTAATCAATTTTAAATATTTTATTATACCCCTTGTTCAAGTATGTAACATTCTTTACCTAAAATTCTAACTTCTAATGTTATTTAGGATTAAAAATTGTAGATTTTCCTGATTTTTTTGCTACTTTTATGAAATAGATTAATTTTCAACTCTATTTTTAGATCCTTTTTATAATCTATTAACTAAACATTGTAGTTCATAAAGAATATGTTCTATCAATTATTAAAAATTTTTAGGCCAAAATTTAAGATCGATTTTCAAATATTAACCTTTTATAAATTTTAATTTTTTATCAATTTTATCATATTGGTCGAAAAAATTCAAGATTCAATTTATTTATTTTCAACTTCATTATTAAATAAAAGGTTATATACTAATTGTTTAAATTGTATTGTCATCTAATCTAAGAGTTATTTCATTTATTTGCTGTTTTTAGTATAATTCTTTAATTTAACTCTATTTCTATATTTAATTTGTTAATTGAATTTATAAACTTTATCAATGTCAGCAAAACTATGAGTGAAAAGATCCCATATTAATATTCTTCAGTGGAATAATCTCTTGTATTAAAGTCATGATCTGTTATTTTTTTAATACATCTGCAATTTGCTTCATTTTATTTTTAGCATCACACAACTTATATTCCTTATCAACTTGTGTTAAATTATTTCTTTGTTGGAAGATTTATTATTCAAAACTTCTTTCATTTCCTTTATTTGAAAAGTATCCAAAATAGTTTTAAACTTTTTCAAAAAATTTAAATTATTAAACTGAATATTCGTTCATCTATTTCTTTAACTTAAGCAAAAAATATCAAACAGAGCTTCTTTCTATTCAAAAATGCTAGACATTTTCTTCTTTTTTTTAATATTGAATTTCTATTACTTAATTAAAGTTTTATACTATATAAGTATCCTATGTATTTTTGTAAAGTAGAATTTCTAGAATTTTTGTAGATTTGGTATCTATTGTATATGAAGTAAATTTGCTATTGAGAATTCAATTCTACATTTACATTTTTTGATTCTCGAAGAACTAATTTTATGAATGAGGTAAATAAATAATCACCTTTTAAATGTACAATTTCAAAAAAAAGAACTGATGATGGTGAAAATGAAAATTAAATTTTTATAATGATATTATTTGAAATCTCTTTATTTTCTTAATTATGATAAGATTGAAGCAGAAAACAGTTTCTACACAAAAATGAGCCATACATAAATTTTTAATCATTTATTCAAAGATTTTAGGTTGAAATCACAGAATAATCAGAAATATTTTAACCTCACTTTGGAATAAATAGTGTAAATATTAATATGACAATAAAATTGTTCTAAATAAATAAATAAATTTCATTATTTCAGAATATTTGAAATATTAAAATTAGGTGCTATTTTCCTATTACTATAAAACATGGAAAGTATTTCAGAATTAAAAAAATAAAACTAATAAATTATCCAGAATATTTTGATCAATTCAATATATTAAATACTAAAATTAAAAATTATAGAACAAAAATGTTCCACATTTTTAGAATATTCATCAAAGATATTATAAAAATTAATTACTTATAAAATGTAATTTAATTAGAAAAAGATTAACATTAAATCACATTAATTTTTTCTAATAAAATTCTTATTCTTTGATTCCATCTTAATATTAACCAATATATATGATTTATTCGTCGCTAATATTATTTAGATAATAATACTATTAAAAATTTTCATGCAAATCTATCCATTTTCCAAACTTTACTCCATTCCTATCAAACTTACCACCACCACTTTTTATGGATAACAATATTTACATTAACTTATATTATTTTTAAACATTAGTTGTAAAGAATGCATTCCATTATCCACATTTAATTCCATTTAAATATTACTTAAGAATCTCTAATAAATTTAATCATAAAGTGTACTCACAAAATGTTTCAGAAAGTTCTGTCCATTATCCAATTTTCATTCCATTATCGTTGTAGGTTCCTTTAACTCTAAATTTAAGATTGATATCAAACATTTTCAATTTATTATCACAATATTTGCTAATTAGAATTTCCCAATTTCCTATTTTAATTCCTTCTTAATAATTTTCTACAAATAACACTTTCCAATATCTAATTAAATAGATAATATATTAAACTTCCAAATTTTATCATTTATCTCAATCCATAATCCAAATTTTAATCCTCTATCATTATAGCTCCCTCCTCCTCTGAAAAATAATAATCTAATTTTATAATACATTATCTTATTATTTTAATTAATTTGCCATTTTCCTTCTTTTTTTCCATTTATATATCTTCCTTTGAATGAAATCTTTGATATAAAACTATAAAAATAATAATTTATTAATTACTATCTATAATCTTCTACTTCTAACCAAATACCTGTTTTCTATCCGTATTCATCGAAATCACCTCCTCCACTACAATATGATAAGATTCTGTTACATAACATCATAAGTAAGTTAAACTAGAATTTTCCACCTTCCTATTTTAAGACCCTTAGTATAATTTCCTACATTTATTATTTTGCATTCATAATGTTTAGAATGAATAAAACTATAATAATATTATACCTCATAAATTTTTCATGAATTTCAGTCCACTTTCCATTTTTTATATCATTGTCATAACATCCTAGACTTCTAAGAATATAATAATTTTGAAACATTATACATTAATTTATAATGATCATCTTTATATTCCTTTAATAGAGACTCCCAAATTCCAATTTTTAACCCATTTTTATATTCTCCTTANATTCTTTGATTCCATCTTAATATTAACCAATATATATGATTTATTCGTCGCTAATATTATTTAGATAATAATACTATTAAAAATTTTCATGCAAATCTATCCATTTTCCAAACTTTACTCCATTCCTATCAAACTTACCACCACCACTTTTTATGGATAACAATATTTACATTAACTTATATTATTTTTAAACATTAGTTGTAAAGAATGCATTCCATTATCCACATTTAATTCCATTTAAATATTACTTAAGAATCTCTAATAAATTTAATCATAAAGTGTACTCACAAAATGTTTCAGAAAGTTCTGTCCATTATCCAATTTTCATTCCATTATCGTTGTAGGTTCCTTTAACTCTAAATTTAAGATTGATATCAAACATTTTCAATTTATTATCACAATATTTGCTAATTAGAATTTCCCAATTTCCTATTTTAATTCCTTCTTAATAATTTTCTACAAATAACACTTTCCAATATCTAATTAAATAGATAATATATTAAACTTCCAAATTTTATCATTTATCTCAATCCATAATCCAAATTTTAATCCTCTATCATTATAGCTCCCTCCTCCTCTGAAAAATAATAATCTAATTTTATAATACATTATCTTATTATTTTAATTAATTTGCCATTTTCCTTCTTTTTTTCCATTTATATATCTTCCTTTGAATGAAATCTTTGATATAAAACTATAAAAATAATAATTTATTAATTACTATCTATAATCTTCTACTTCTAACCAAATACCTGTTTTCTATCCGTATTCATCGAAATCACCTCCTCCACTACAATATGATAAGATTCTGTTACATAACATCATAAGTAAGTTAAACTAGAATTTTCCACCTTCCTATTTTAAGACCCTTAGTATAATTTCCTACATTTATTATTTTGCATTCATAATGTTTAGAATGAATAAAACTATAATAATATTATACCTCATAAATTTTTCATGAATTTCAGTCCACTTTCCATTTTTTATATCATTGTCATAACATCCTAGACTTCTAAGAATATAATAATTTTGAAACATTATACATTAATTTATAATGATCATCTTTATATTCCTTTAATAGAGACTCCCAAATTCCAATTTTTAACCCATTTTTATATTCTCCTTATTCTAAAATCTAGCATCCACTAAAATTAATTTCATTACTCTTACTTCCAAAAATTTTCACTTTCCTCCACCCATTTCCCATTTTTTTATCCGTCTCTATTATAAACACCTCCTCCTCTAAGAATATTATATGCGTTTACATTTTTTTAAAACGACTATCAAAGTAACTTCGATAAGCAATGTCCCATTAACCTACTTTTGCATTATTATAATAAATTCCTTTATAAACAATTTGTCTTCCACTGATAAATCTATCCAATACCCTTATTTAATAGCCACTTAATCATAATAGCCTCCACCACTTATAAAGATTTAATTTTACATTCTTACATATTGGTGATTTATTTTAATTTTTAATCTAAATAATATATTTACCATTTCCCTTGTTTAATATCATCAAAATATTACCCTCTAAAAGTTACTTATGATTTGCTATATTAATTTAGATAAGATTACTCCCAAAAAATTTCAAAAAGTTCGATCCATTCACCTGTTTTTAAACCTTTATCGCAATAATATCCTCCTGCTTCTAAATTTTCCCCTTTCCATAAAGCATGCCATTTTCCCATTTTTTATTACAGATTATTATACTAACCTGCCATCTTAAATATTTAATTTACTCTAAATTTTTTGTTTAATTTAGAGTATCCTTTTAATCTCTAAATTATAGTTTAATAGTTACATATAAAGAATAGAGCCATCCTTTTAATAACTGTTCCATCTTCAGTAATTTAAATACTAAAAGTTGCTTTTTAGAATAACAATAAATTTTAAATCCTGTAACTTTCTCTTCCTTCTATTATTGTCCAGTCCTTATTAAAAATTTATCTCTCTTTAGAATCGGATCCATATTTTAAATAATTTGTAACAGAATTTATTGCTTAAAATAAAATCATTATTTTAATTTTTTATATATTCAACTTTATTTAGTAAATATAGATAATAATTTTAGATTTTTAAGAAATGAATCAGAGATTAGAATCACTGATGATTAAAAATAAATTATACTAATCATAATTCATTATTGATTATTATTCAAAATCAGAATATTATGAAAATAATATACACCTTTAGTAGTTAATTGGAATCATTTGATTTATGAATCTCCTCTTTGCTCTAAGTTTCTTCTTGATATTTTATATGATAAATATCAAAACTAATATTTATATATTTATTTCATTAAAATTATATAGATTCTAATTTGGTAATTATTCGAATCAGAATGAATTGAATTTCTAAGATCATATTTTTAACTATTCTGAATATAAATTTTTAAATATACTCCTAAACAAGTCGATGCAAAAAATAAATAATTAGCAGATATCCATAAAATAAGACTATTTGTATTAGCAATTAGGTTGAAGAAAAAATTATTCATATAAATATTAATTGAATGTTTAAATTGACATCAATCTGTATTATTATAGTATCATATATCGCAAATAGATAATTTATATGATTAATAATACTACATAAAAATTCTTTTAATTAAAATATTTTTATATATTTTTTATTCTCATTTTCTTCCATTAATTTCATTATTTCAACAGTTTTAATTTGGCCTCCCCGACTTTATTAAGGGATAATGTTGTATAAATTTGTTATTGCCTTAAATAAAATAAAATATATACTCTTTTTTCTCTTAGCGTTTTTTTGAAATTGTAAGCTTTCGCAATTATTTGAAATTTCTATCTATCCTAGAATTCTTTTATCTCCATTAATCTATAATATCATTAAATTTCCAGATTAAACTTGATTAAGGAAATAATTTTTTTAATATAATTATGAGGTATGTCAAAAAATTTTCTTTGTATTTTTTATAATAAGCAGAGATAATATCAAAAAGATATGGAAAACTAAATCTAAAGCAAATAAGGGCTATTAAAATTTACAAAATTTGTGCTAAGATTTAGTCTCCTTACTATTCACAAATATATTAAACTGCAGCTAAGAAAATTGCTATTGAACAAAATTATCCTGAACTCAAATCCAATTTATTTAATTTTGGATAAATGTAAGGCAAAAATGATGATGTGATGATTTAATAGATCATTAAGCACATTGCAATCAAGATTCCTTTTAAAAATATATTAGTTTCAAAGTATATCAAAATGACTATAATGATGGTTTTCTTCCATAATTTAACCCATTCCCAAAAAGAGCTATTGGTGTTATATTCATTAAATAAATAACCAATATGTCTTCTGAATTATATTTTATCAAAAAAATTCCTTTTCTTGTACAAAAATAAAAGTAATGATATTGGTAAAATTAACCCTATCAGTAATGAAAGTGGTAAAGCAAACTTATAAATCCATGCCTAGTGATTAAGTGACTAAAATAGGAGAGATACATCTCCTTAAACGTAATCAATCCTGGAGATTTCCCTTTTGGCCAAAATTGAAAAAAGCCTTAAATCATTATAAAATCATACTAATTGATTAATGCAGCATAGTTTTATATATATAAATAAATTATTGTAATTGAAGATATGTTACTACTGAATTTTCCTTTTGTAAGCATAATAAAAATGTTGACTGTTAATTAAATAATGAAGATTTATAAACTGATTAGAGTAAACATTCCTAATACTCTTATGTATATTAATTCTGTTTCAAATGATTATGAAATTTCACAATCTAAATTACGAGTAAGGAAATATGATGTATCACTCATCTAGTTAACAAAAATAAATGAAAAAGAAAATTGAATGTTAAAAGTAAAAATTACAGAAAATATCCAAATATAATTAAGCAATAACTTTAATAAGATACTCTCTTAATCTAAAAATAATATTTATTAAACAAATACTTATATTCATCTTAAACAGGATATGAGCAAAATTTTAAGTGAGTTTTAATGAAGCAAAGAGTTAATTAGTTTTCTATACACTAGTTAATGTTATAAAAGCTGATAGAAAGACCCTATTTTAGAATTAATTTATTACCAAATTGTTATGAGAACCAAAGATAATATGTTAATAGAAAAATTGCTACAATTTAAACAAGTAAATTGATCATTTTTAAAATAATATCCATCTCCTCTAGTATTATGCTTATCACACTCTTCACATAATCCTCCAATATGCCCAATTTTACAAATATCATCACCAACAGCCCAACCACCTTTGCATGATTCAATATTTTTGAAGCAATCATTCACTAAATCAGATTCCTGATGAGGTCTCCAATATCCAGGTTTCAATTTAATATTGTTAGAAGTAATGGCTTCAAATTTGGTTTTATCAAATATTGAACATTTTGTAGCATTGTATATAACAGAATAAAACCCTTATGTAGATTAACAAGTCAAACAACCATTTAAAACATTAAATTCTCCTAANAAAAAATTATTCATATAAATATTAATTGAATGTTTAAATTGACATCAATCTGTATTATTATAGTATCATATATCGCAAATAGATAATTTATATGATTAATAATACTACATAAAAATTCTTTTAATTAAAATATTTTTATATATTTTTTATTCTCATTTTCTTCCATTAATTTCATTATTTCAACAGTTTTAATTTGGCCTCCCCGACTTTATTAAGGGATAATGTTGTATAAATTTGTTATTGCCTTAAATAAAATAAAATATATACTCTTTTTTCTCTTAGCGTTTTTTTGAAATTGTAAGCTTTCGCAATTATTTGAAATTTCTATCTATCCTAGAATTCTTTTATCTCCATTAATCTATAATATCATTAAATTTCCAGATTAAACTTGATTAAGGAAATAATTTTTTTAATATAATTATGAGGTATGTCAAAAAATTTTCTTTGTATTTTTTATAATAAGCAGAGATAATATCAAAAAGATATGGAAAACTAAATCTAAAGCAAATAAGGGCTATTAAAATTTACAAAATTTGTGCTAAGATTTAGTCTCCTTACTATTCACAAATATATTAAACTGCAGCTAAGAAAATTGCTATTGAACAAAATTATCCTGAACTCAAATCCAATTTATTTAATTTTGGATAAATGTAAGGCAAATATGATGATGTGATTACTTAATAGATCATTAAGCACATTGCAATCAAGATTCCTTTTAAAATATACTAGTTTCAAAGTATATCAAAATGACTATAATGATGGTTTTCTTCCATAATTTAACCCATTCCCAAAAAGAGCTATTGGTGTTATATTCATTAAATAAATAACCAATATGTCTTCTGAATTATATTTTATCAAAAAAATTCCTTTTCTTGTACAAAAATAAAAGTAATGATATTGGTAAAATTAACCCTATCAGTAATGAAAGTGGTAAAGCAAACTTATAAATCCATGCCTAGTGATTAAGTGACTAAAATAGGAGAGATACATCTCCTTAAACGTAATCAATCCTGGAGATTTCCCTTTTGGCCAAAATTGAAAAAAGCCTTAAATCATTATAAAATCATACTAATTGATTAATGCAGCATAGTTTTATATATATAAATAAATTATTGTAATTGAAGATATGTTACTACTGAATTTTCCTTTTGTAAGCATAATAAAAATGTTGACTGTTAATTAAATAATGAAGATTTATAAACTGATTAGAGTAAACATTCCTAATACTCTTATGTATATTAATTCTATTTCAAATGATTATGAAATTTCACAATCTAAATTACGAGTAAGGAAATATGGTGTATCATTCATCTACTTAACAAAATAAATGAAAAAGAAAATTGAATGTTAAAAGTAAAAATTACAGAAAATATCCAAATATAATTAAGCAATAACTTTAATAAGATACTCTCTTAATCTAAAAATAATATTTATTAAACAAATACTTATATTCATCTTAAATAGGATATGAGCAAAATTTTAAGTGAGTTTTAATGAAGCAAAGAGTTAATTAGTTTTCTATACACTAGTTAATGTTATAAAAGCTGATAGAAAGACCCTATTTTAGAATTAATTTATTACCAAATTGTTATGAGAACCAAAGATAATATGTTAATAGAAAAATTGCTACAATTTAAACAAGTAAATTGATCATTTTTAAAATAATATCCATCTCCTCTAGTATTATGCTTATCACACTCTTCACATAATCCTCCAATATGCCCAATTTTACAAATATCATCACCAACAGCCCAACCACCTTTGCATGATTCAATATTTTTGAAGCAATCATTCACTAAATCAGATTCCTGATGAGGTCTCCAATATCCAGGTTTCAATTTAATATTGTTAGAAGTAATGGCTTCAAATTTGGTTTTATCAAATATTGAACATTTTGTAGCATTGTATATAACAGAATAAAACCCTTATGTAGATTAACAAGTCAAACAACCATTTAAAACATTAAATTCTCCTAATTAACAAATTAGGCTTTATACTTTTATCTTATACGATAATTCCTTAATTAAACTTTTGGTTTTGCAGTAAATTTCAATTTCATACTATTTGTCAGTTTGATTATATGGATCAAAAGTAAAAATTAACATTCCTAAATCGAAATTGTTTGTTGTTTAATTAAAATATATTAATGAAGCATTGCTTGAACTTAATTTAACTTATTTTTTAATATCGATTATTGATTCCATAATTTAACAAGTTGAATTAGTAAAATTGAGCAATTATTCATTAAATCTATTTTTTAATTAAATTGAAAACTCATTTATATATGCTGAAAATTTCTTTAATTTTGGATTGTATAGTTCATATTTGGAGATCTCTTAATTGCTTGGTATCATTAATTTATTTGACAAAATTACTTTACCTTATTATAATATTTTATAGGGACTTAATTTTAATGACTTTTATGATTTTGAATCAAAAGATTATTCTGAAGGCATAATTTGATGATTGATTGATATTTCTAAATGAGAAGGCAATTCTTATATATTATCAGTAGTTAATTCAGCTTTATTAAAATTTAAAAGTGACTTCACAAAATTTATTTCACTCAAAATACTTTCTCCATTTTAATATATTCCCCCACCTTCCCTTGCTTTATTATGTTAGATATATGTTGAATTTATTACAAAATCTCCATTATTTAAATTCAAATATAATCCACCTCCGAATAAAGTTGCTGTATTATTCAAAATCTTGACATTAGAAATAAATGTCTTAACATTTATTGAAGATAGAGCCAATCCTTAGCTACCATTATTATTAATAAAAAGAG